TTTCAAGCATCAGAGACGTGAAAAACATGCAGCAACCAAGACATGATCATCATCATTTCTGCTTGTCTACACCATTCCAATTGACTTCTCCTGTAGCAAACTAAAGACGAACCTGAGTGTATCATCAACATACGCTAAAACCAAAACTGTCCTACAGCATTTTAAACGACTTTTCTTCATTTGAAGTTACCACAAAACTATCCCAAGAAACTGATCGTGAAAGCCAAAATTGAGATTGTTTGACTGAAATCAAATGGAAGATGGCCAAAACAATGAAATGGATTAAAAAGCGTATGGTTAAGCACGCATATTCTCTATAGCAAGAATCAGATGTGAGTCGTGGTCTATCTCCCAGTCTTTATGGGAAAAAAATGCGTTTGTGAGCCGAAATGCTATAGGAAAATTCTCAGAAGAGAAGAGAAGAAACACTGGCATTTTGACAGATCTGAACATCAAGAAGTTTGGCTGAAATACAGCCTCATGTCTCACAAGCTAAAATATTGTTGTCATATCAAGCGCCACGACGGATTGGAAAACAATAATAGCAAAAGGCATGGTACCAGGAAGTAGGGACAGGGACCGACCAACACGAAGATGGGAACATAATAATAGTGACTCCTTGAATAGGAAAGTACATGAGGTGGGAGAGCTGGCGGAAGACCGAGTTTCTTTCAGGCAGACAGTGATGACAGCGACATTTTGCAAAGTACCTGTTAAATAATTATGATCATTACACCACGAATGCAGACCAAAACTGTCCAACCCCTACTGATAAACCGAGGACTAAGATTAGGAAAATATTATGAGTGCAACGTTCTGCAGAGGACTTGTAACATGATGATGATGAATTTATGTTCGTTTTGAAAATAACTGAAACAAAATAACAAAATGTAAAACAAGTCGAAGAAAAGGCAGCGCGCATCATAGCCTAATTATTCCTCCCAGATTTAAATATTTGGTTTGCTCTGTTGCACTATCCATTTGAAGCTAAGGAGTGTTCCCCGTTATCAGCTTATCACAAAGTAGATAGCCGCTAGGAGAAGGGACAGGAGTGGCCAGTCTTTCAATCCGTTTATTTCCCAGTACACCAAACTCTAGTAGAAAAACAAAAACAGTGATATCACCATCTTCCTGATCGTTTAATTTGTACAAAATTGAACACTAAATAAGTGCAATGTGCTCTGCTAGGGGTTTGTCTCTACACGCCACATTACTGTATTGACGAACACTTAGTTGCTATGACACACAAGAAACGAATGTTCAGTTTTAGACCTTTATTCACTGAATCAAACATATCACTGACAGCGCATTCTTTCGTCCTCGTGGTCACTATGCCTGACTGATTCTGACGGCCTGGTCAATTCTCTCGCACACTGCTTTGATCCATCCGTATCTCTCGAATCACACATCCATCTCCTACTAAAACCTTGTACCGGGTATTAGTACTTGGAACTGACAATCAGGAAACATTCATATCTTCTCTTAAACAGTTATACGTGTTCACAGTTTCTCCATTCTCTTCAGGCGTTCTCTCACATACGACCTCTCGCAACCAGGTCCGAACTTCAACTGTCTTACTACCGTCTCTCGGTTCACCTCTTTCGTTCCAGTCTCACGCTTTTCTTGTATCCCTTTTTTTCGTTCACCATGGGATACTCGAGACCCACTTATCTCGTTTTTCTCTTGTATCACTGGTCCTCTGACCTTGTCCTCTCCATCGGAAACTCTCTGGGATTTCACGGGGAATTCACAACACCCAATAAGGTTTAAAGTAAAAGGTAGTTTCACACTGTCACTGGGTGGGTAACAAAACGAAGAATAATACTTCCTCTCCACCCAACCCATTTATACGGGACATTTTCATCAGAATAAACATTTCCGGATCTATGGTATCAAGAAGATGCTTTATGGTGTTGCACATAGAATCTTCCTCGCTGACGTTTATGGCATACAGGAATTATGCAAAAAATCCCTAGCTGTAGTAACGATTATACATGTATTTAAAAAACATTTGTTTTTGAAAGTTTAAATACCAGATTCAACAGCTGCTATAATTATGATTTTTTTTTCAAATAGAAATTGTAACCCTGCTTGTGTGTGTTTATCATTCCAGAATATGTCCTTTTGAACCCGTCTGTGGATTTCAAAGTCAAAACGAAAAGCAAGTACATAGTTTTCAAGTAACGTGATCTGCTCTTTTTGCTGTGATAATGAGTAAATTTTCATATTAGAACTAAAGCTCAACTTTTGAAGTTGATGATATCGGTTTAAGCAGAAAATGTTTTTTTTTTTTTTTTTTCATAATTTTTAATGAAGGCTTTGTATTCATAAACATTATTGTCTTAACGGCGATTTTTTTTCCACAAAAGCTGACCTTTCCTACTGTGCGCTTATAAAAACCATTGATTGAATAAACGATGGACTGAATATTGCGTTTGTAGATATAAAAATATAAAGGGGACATAAACTATGAACTATTCTTGAGATGTGATCAAGAACAATTCCCAAATAATTTCATAGTAACACTTTTCAAAGCGCAGTCAGAACACAAGAGGTTCTATATGACATATTTACAACCAACACAGGCCTGAGACAGAGTTGTATGCTGTCTCCTCACATATAAAATTTATACACAGCAAGAGCCCGGCTCTCTAGCGTAGTTGGCTAAACCGAACTGCACGGTGACCAGGTGACGAACTCCTTGTGGTCAAGGTTCACGCCCGGGGGGTAGGCAGAAAAGCCACATTTCTCCCTGATTTACGGTATTTATCATGGAATCAAGGGCGAAGGGTTGCGATATCCATAATACCGAGCCTTTGGGTTAACAACTCATGGCTTCTGGATACTAAATATATATATATATATAGCAAGAACAATTTTTTCCTAACGTCAGCTTTCATGCAGCGGATCCAAAATAGTCAGAAAATGTACATCTTCACTTTCCGGAGGAAGAATTAGATCCACAAACAATAAATTAGCCACTTTTTGCAGAGGAAAGTAGACTGCAAGACCATTTTAACAAAGTTCAATGTGTAGAAGATACAACATGAACTAAGGACGACTAAACCTGAAGTAATGCAGGTGAGTAGAATTCCTACTTGCTACATACAGGGTTGAGTAGTACTTATCTGAAGAAAGATAAATAATTTAGATATCCATGAATATATTCTCAGAGGACGGGAGAATAAATCAAGAAATTGAAACAAGATTTTACGCGCACTTATATACCATGTAATACCATTATTAAGACATCCAAGCATAAGTATGAGCGCCATGAAACGGACTGTAAACAGCATGTTCATATCAACAGTGTGCTGCCAGCGGTAGAGTTAAACATTATCAAAGACTAACCTAAGTAAAATTAACACTTGTGACATGAGAGTCCGGAGAAAAGCAGCTAAATCAAGCATCCAGGACAACAATTCGAAATTGTCATACAGAATTTAGCAATAACACAATTTAGCAAATTCGTTGAGAAACAGAAGATGAAATGATTTGGTCATCTAGCAAGATTGCAACCAGAACAACTACTAACGTAGGCGTGCACAGCAAAAGATCTAATGCTGAAGCAAGAGGTCACTCTAGGAGACAATGGAGTGATGACATTACACAGCTGTTGCATCAAAACGGAATGACAGTGACCATTGCTGCCCATCATACAGTGGATTGCAAACTGCTCCTCCCAACGTAGCTTAACTGCAGAAGTGGAGCATAATGAGGATGCCTGTGTGATTACTCATTGCACTGTGTTTCTGTTATTTGTCCATTTCCTTTACGCTGTTTCATGGTATAAATGTTCCACTTTTTGCTGTACAGTATTGGTCCATGTGAAACATCTCTCCATTTGGTTTTTGTTTATGCAACGAATCAAACTCGTGGCACAAGGGTAGTGACCTAAAAGTGGTCCGTTCTACTTCTAACTCAGGGCTGAGTCTGTAGCACTCAGGGCAGTGCACGAACTCTGTTATATTCCTGAAATACTTTTAGTAGATTGTTAAAACTCTAGGTTTTTGCCCGGGGAGGCACCTTTAGGCTACTTTTTTTAATTTCCAACTGCAAAGAGATTTTTTACGTGCGCAACAATACACACGGGCGCCTGATCTTACTACCCAGTGACCAGGATAATTTATATTCAGGATTCTTCCGTGAAAACATCCCAGCCTTCACCGGGGCCTGAATCGGGGACCTCCAGCACTGGAGGCGGACGCCATGCCTCGATGCCCCTCAACTCCATTTTCCCCCCTTATTTATTATCTCTACATCACAGTAACCATCAGCATTGCTTTTTAAAAATGTAAATTGTATTTTCCAATCTTTAATGGCTGCTGCCATCAAAGAGCTGCTCTTTCGGTGCAAATTTCTGCTTTACTAATACATCCAGTCTAAACTTATCAGATTGACTAACATTCGCTATTTACTCTGAATTATTTTTTTACTATAATGTTAGTGTCACTATTTTGTTCAACAGCTTCTATGTTTAACTGCACCCATATCTGTTTCAATACATCTGCAGTTTTGTCTTGAAAGTTTCATTAAGATGTATATTGAGGTTTTCCGTTATTGTGGTGTCTGTTACAAGGGTGAGAAGTAAAGGTAAAGAACCTTTTTTCGCGCCTTTAAGCGCATCGGGCATATAAGGCTAGACCTGTATTTTATAGACCAATCAGCGCTTGGCGGATGATGTGGTCAGCATCACACCGGCCTCTTTTACTTCCCAGGACTTTTACCTGGCACCTTTTAAAGGTTAAGTCGACCTAAGTGCCAAAGAATATTTGGGCTTTAAAATAAACCTAGTTAGTTCAATATTAAGTTTTGAATAAATTCTTGCCAGTGAGACCATCTGGGAAACCCAAGGCTGCCATCTGATCTCATACACCGATGCCGTTCCCACATTTAGCACGGAGCCAAACAGTGAGCTCCATTTCAACCTCACGGACGACAGTGTGCCCAAGAGAAATGTGGTGTGCAAGTGTAACCACACAACAAACTTCGCTGTCTTGATGCAAGTTGTCAACTTTGAGGTAAAGTCTGAGTTAACTTCTGATTTTCCACATCGTCATCAAGTGTCATGTCATAATTCTAAATGTTGTTCTTTTTCTCCGACAAAATATTTCCGCTCAGCGCGAAGATTGATCTGTGTGTTAGTCCTTCAAAGGACGTAACGTAAAGATCCCTTTTCAGTCATTTTTAGCGCATCGGGCATGTGTGAAGAGCGCCTATATCTTCACAGATCATTGGCACTAGATGGGTAATGTGGTCAGCATTACGCCGGCTTTCTTTACGTCCCCAGGACAGCCTTCCTGGTTCCCATTTTAGGCTGGGTCGACCTGCGACGCCCCATAAATGATAAAAATCCACGCAGCCAGCAGTGGGTTTCCATCGCGGTACTTTGGAATTACGAGTCGAACTCACAACACCTAAGCCACGGACGCCGCTTCAAAGGACGTTTGGCACCTTTTTGATGTGAATTATAGCTACAATGTAATATCTGACTATTCGGCCAAACATATCCAAATCATTGATTTCTGAATTAGTCGTGTTTAATGAAATGCTCACTCAGGGGTCGGGAACGTTTAGAATTCCAGCTGCAGTCGGATTGACAGCAGACCACCATGCTTTGATTCCGAGAACCGACCGTTTGATAAGCAATGGCAAACTACTGAACGTAAATTGCCTTGTAAAATCACAAAAAACCGCAAATGCTAGGGTTGTCTCTAATACGTTAAAGATTTGCAAAAACATTATTATGCATTTATTTCTTTTGGTTGTTATTGAAAGGGGAGTGGGGGAGGGTGGGGTAGGGTGGAGGCTCAAGATTGTTATTCTAATTGGAGTCTAATTGGAGCACCCTGAATCCACACGAGGAATTTATCGTTCAAGGAGTTTTAAACAGTGCTCTATTGTGGCCGTGGGTAACACTTTAGCAATACAGCACTGGGATCATAGGTTCATCTTCTTGCTGCGACAGTTTTTTTTTTTTTTTCTGGGTTAAGTTATCGACCGAAGCTGAAGTTAATATTGTGACCCTTTTTTTTGGGAGGTACTCAAGACGAGAGATGCTAAGACGTCTTAAAGTATGTGCATGGTCCAAAATACTCTTTAGATTTGAAAGTGATAATTTGGAAATGTTGTGGAAAGTAAAAAAACACACATTATATTGATCACATCACGAATCAACTGCTTATTGCTGCACAAATGCGTACAATTAGCTGTACAAATAGTAATCCGAATCAGTAATCAGAAGGCAACAGTCCACCCCCCCCCCCACCCCCACACACCACCTACACACAACCTCTATTTTACTTTCCAAACCAATTTAGGTAAAAGTGTGAATTTAACTGACCAATATAACTCACCTTGGCCTTCATTTTAACTCTCACATGAAATCTCAGTTTTTTTTTTTTTCCTATAAGTTTGTGCCAACGCAAAACAACGCCATGCACGCCCGTACTGTATCACTTTATGTCATGTTTTCACACACACACACACACAGTGTCGTTTTCCGCTACCATAAATTAAAAAACAATTGGCTGTTGGTGAAGCACATTGTCTTTCTTTCTTGCTTTGCTATTTTACCAGTCGTGTCCATCTACCTTTCTACTTCTTTCTGTTAGTGCCGATTATTACAATATATTTTTTTTGGGTTTGGGGGAGGAAGGGGGGGGGGGGGGGTACTTGCATGGTCTCGATGCATTGCGCCCGCCTCAAGTGCTCGAGGTCCCGAGTTTAATCCTTGGCAAAGGCTATAATTTTTTTTACGTAGACTCCTAATAATTTTCCCTGGTTGGTCTCTGGGTAGTAAGATCAGATGCCCGTGTATTTTATTGCGCACATTAAAAAAAAATCCCTTCGCAGTTGGAAATAAAAAAATAGTAGCCTAACGGAGCTATCCGGGCAAAATTTGGAGTTTAAAATCTACCCAAAGTATTTCAGGATCCTCGCCGGTGCCAAGGAGTTCGTGCAGAGCGCTGAGATTCTTTAAACTCAGGCTTGACTCAGAGGTAGAACGGAGCACTTATGGGTTACTACCCTTGTGTCATGTTGTTGATCTGTCGTCTATGCCTAATCTGTTTGTTTATTATACATATATATAATATTTCAATAGATAAGTGCAGCCGTTTTTTTTTTTTTTTTCTTCAGTGTGTTGTGCCATTTTGTACACATAATACAGTAAACTTCAAATTTAATGTGGACACAGTTTTACATTGCTTTCTAATTATTCGCAAAGACAAATATGATACCTCCCCCCCCCCACCTCCCCCACCCCCTTTCCATATGCTAGACCAGATAGTTAATTAACATTAGTAAGTGGGAAAAGGCTCTTAACTCTTTGAGTCCAAAGGAACGCATCATACCTTTATAGGTTCCTACCTAGAAGCCCACTGAACGCATGATGCGCCGATTTTAGGACTTTCTTGACTACCCCCTGGGACTCAAAGAGTTAACTGTATATCTCACAGCTGCTAGGGGTCTGTGCTAACATTGTGTCTCTCTCTGGACCTATGACTCGGATGCTCTAAAATAATCTCTTCATTGACACCTTCTCCCGTCCCTTCCAGTCACATAGTGTGACATTTCCGTGTAAGTTTCGGGTCTTCCATAATAGAAGGAACAAAAATAGTAGTAGTACATTTTACCCCACCAGGACATCACACAAGCGATAAACACCCTATGACAAAGTGCCACCATGTGGATGAGGATCACCCGTGGAGAGGTCCCGGAAACCATTAGACCGTATTTATGGCAGGGCTATATTGTGGCCGCAAGCGGAAGCCAGGGTGGGGTTTCATAATAACGAAAAATTGCATCTCACTAGGAGATGTCTGATTAGTAAATTATGCAAGAATAGACATAATGCCACCCAACAAACGTATCCCAACGAACGCCAGTTATTCTGTACACACTATGAGCATATGGTACCACATGTTTGATTCAAAAAATGTACAATACGAGTTCTACTCTTAATTTTCTGACGACAAGTTCAGGAATCTTTCAAAAACTGGTGTATCATTTAGTGAAGTTACTACCCTTGCCCTGGTACTATCCGCCACAATGAGCCACACTAAAAAAGTTACACCGGGTATAGAGCGAGTGGAAGACCTCGGAAAATATGGAGTGATGGCATTAGGAACAGCCTTACAGAAATGAACATCAGTCTTGATAGTGCTCTTGACAGAGCTCATCAACGAACATTACATCTCCTCCCGACACTTCGATGAGGTAAAAGGTGGAAAGAAGAAGAAGAAGAAGAAGACTACCCTTGCGCAATGATATTGATCTGTTGTATAAAGCATAAACCATCCAGTAAATGATCCCCCAGATTGGAGAGAAGGATGAGCTGGCCCTCAGCATTATTTCCTACCTCGGCTGTAGCGTCACGCTCATCACCCAGATCATGGCAATCACTGTTTTCACCTGCATCAGGTCAGTCTTTTCTATTTTCTAACTGATTGTGCTTCTTTTAACTGGGATTTAATGCATGGGAACTGAATCGCACTTAGAACTATGTGTGTCGGTTCCTCGGCCCATTTTTTTCCCGGGTTTGGGGGGGGGGGGTTGTGGAGAACCCCCCCCCCCCTCCCTCCACCACCACATATACACACACACACAAATGTATGTTGTAAAAAGCAACAAATTAAATTAGGATATTTTCTTCAAAGTCAGAGTGCATTTGCATGAAAGGTGAGGCATCAAAGTCTCTATACAAATAAATCCGATCTGTAAAGTGGTCCTGCACGCAAAAACTAAGCTCTGGAGCAAGGCTAACATCCAGAAATGAACGAACAAGCAGAACATTGCATGTTTACCGCCGATACACATGAAGAAGAAGTAGAAACAGAACTTAAAAATTTAGATAAATAAATCTGCCTCTATAAGTCTGCATGTCTGTACAAGTATCTGTGATTTTACAGACAAAAGCAGCATAATATTTTGTTTATTAGCTTTATTTCTATGTAATATTCGGCAGTGAAATTAAGAATTCAAGAATGAAAATCACAGTAAACGAATAGATACTAGAAAATAGATAAGAAATGTCTTTTTTCCTAAAGATGTGATTCCATGTAATAGCGAAGGAGCAATATAAATTGAAAGAGCGATAGATAGAGAGAGAGAGAGAGAGAGGAGAGAGAGAGAGAGAGAGAGAGAGAGGGCAGAGAGAGAGAGAGAGAAGAGAGAGAGGGGGAGGGGGAGAGAGAGAGAGAGAGAGAGAGAGAGAGAGAGAGGCAGAATTTGAATAGCCAAAACTGTTTGAAGGAAAATGTGCAGAATATAAGAATACTGAAACTGAACGCTAACATACGCTATGCATTTAGCCCTACAGAATGAGCAGAAAACTGCACTCAAGAAAGACAAACAAGAAAGACTGAATACTTTCCACATGCACTGTACGAGACTTATTCTTGGTATAACATGGTGAGACTTTGTCCCCAACACACGTGCATGTACTTAAAGAAGCTGGAATATCAACAATGCACTTTCTACTTAAGCAAAGACAGCTATGTTGGCAGGGACACGTCTCCTACATGGAGGACGGTTGCATTGCAAAGGATTCTCCTATACGGTGACCTAGACAAAAAGGACAAATATTTAAGAGAAGACCAAGGTTATGCTATAAAGACATATGCAGACGAGTTCTACAACGTTACTGGAACTTCAAAGAGGAAATAAGTGCTCTAAACGTCCGGCGGTCTTGGGACAGAGTTCCTTTGTCAGCATGAACAACATGGATGAAACCCGAAAGGAAGCCCATGATGGGAAAAAAAGTCTGCTGGATGTTAAAACCAAAATAAGAATTGGCTTCTGGAACGTAATAACCATGTTTAAAACGGCCAAAACCGGCCAAGCAATTAAAGAAATGCAGAACGAGAAAGAAGGGGCGTCCAAAAACAACATGGAGACGAACCATGCAAAGTGACCTGAGTGCGGCATCTTTGACATGGAAAACTGACTGAAGATTGCACAGGACAGGAAAGCATGGAAAGTCCTCTCTGAAGCCTCATGTGCCACTAGGCATAACGACAAATGATGACTGATGATGATGACGATGATGATCTGCAGACCGACTGCAATGGAGACAGATAGTGAAAAACAGTTTTACGGTTTACAAGAGGCAAAACGCAGTAAGCTGTAGAGAGGAGACGTCTGAGAGAAAACCAGAATAAGAGTTTCAAAAGTGTTAATGTTGGTTATGTTGCAGACGGCCTCTCTTGCATAGGACTTAACAATCAATAGCAGACGCTATTCTCATAACCAGTGGCACATCTATATGACTTCCCATTAACTGAAGTAGCAAACTATCTCCTGCCACTGAAACCTGGAAAATGAATTAGTATCTTGTAAGTTGATGATGAGTTCTTGAAATGTGGATGTTACAGGCTGTACTGCCATATAATGGAGTCAGTTAAAACCAAAACAACAGTAACAATAACAACAACCACAAACAAAGTTGGACTAAATAAAAGGATTTAATATTCTGAGAGGAATAACATTAAACTGAAGAGTTGAAGAAAGAGAACAACAATACGACACGACATCAATAGGTGGACAAATAGCAGTGTGAAAGAGCTAAACTCAGTGCGTGAGAAAGTGTTGCAGACCCATCACAGCCAACCTGCATTACAAATAATTGTCAATGTATTTCAGGTCCCTCAACTCTGAGAGAGTTTGTGTCCATAGAAACCTCTGTATCTCTATCTTAGCAGCCCAAATAACGTTTATTTCTGGCATCAAGGCTGTGCAGAACAAGGTATTATCTATTCATTTGCTACTTGTCCATTTTCTAAAACAGTGGCTTTTATATAGTTTGTTGAAAACAAATAATTAATAACTTATTCATTTGTTCTCTACATTTAAAAAAAGCCTCATTACATGTGATGACAGCATATGTCATTGTGTCACCAGGTTTTGTGTGCTGTCAAGTCATGTAATGATATCTAGTGACACCCTATGTCACTGTCTCACCGGGTTGTGTGTGCTGTAAGAGCGTGTAATGACATCATATTTCATTACCTCACTAGGTTGCGTGTGCTGTAAGAACGTGTAATGACATGTGATGACAGCATATGTCACTGTCTCACCAGGTTTCGTGTGCTGTCAAGTCATGTAATGACATCTAATGACACCATATGTCACTGTCTCACCAGGTTGTGTGTGCTGTAAGAACGTGTAATGACATGATATTTCATTACCTCACTAGGCTGCGTGTGTGTGCTGTAAGAACGTGTAATGACATGATATTTCATTACCTCACTAGGTTGCGTGTGTGTGCTGTAAGAACGTGTAATGACATGTGATGACAGCATATTTCATTACCTCACTAGGTTGCGTGTGTGTGCTGTAAGAACGTGTAATGACATGATATTTCATTACCTCATTAGGTTGCGTGTGTGTGCTGTAAGAACGTGTAATCACATGATATTTCATTACCTCACTAGGTTGCGTGTGTGTGCCGTAAGAACGTGCAATGACATCATATTTCATTACCTCACTAGGTTGCGTGTGCTGTAAAAACGTGTAATGACATGTGATGACAGCATATGTCACTGTCTCACCAGGTTTTGTGTGCTGTCAAGTCATGTAATGACATCTAGTGACAACATATGTCACTGTCTCACCGGGTTGTGTGTGCTGTAAGAACATGTAATGACATGTGATGACATCATATGTCTTTGACTCACCAGGTTGTGTGTGCCGTTGTGGCGGTGTTTCTGCATTACTTTCTACACAAGCTCATTCATGTGGATGCTTGTTGAAGGGCTGCATCTCTACAACATGATAATCAACGTGTTTGGCACAGAACGTTCCAGAATTGTTTACTACACCTGCATTGGTTACGGTCAGTGGCTATTCACAATCATTGGCACCATCATTATCATGGCCAACATTATCATCGTTCTATTAGCTCGCTGTCACCATCAGCACAAAATCCTTCCAAGCCATGCAAACTACATAATGCTGAGATGATTTAAGCTAAATTAGGCCTCCACATCACAGCAGATGAAATATCTCCATAAGTGCTCCGTCACTGTCTTCAGCAAACGCACTAATTCACATTCCGATGGCACCATCATCAGTCTGACTGTGTATCTGTCTTGCCTTTTCTCTGGATTATGAACGTCGTCGACCCGATCTCGAAGCCGCTCCTGCTAAATCACGTTTCTCTTGCCGTTAAAGGTCTTAACAACATCTAGGTTGTTGGCGTGCAACAGTTGACTGCCAAACAGTGCCGAGGTAACCAGTGTATCTGTCTGCCTGTTCGTTTTTCTGCACCGCTGCCCGGTCCTTAAAAAAAAAAAAAACAATATCTGAAGGACTCTAACTACCTGAGACCTCTGGAAAAAAGATGCTTGCGACTGAGGACTGAGCAAGTCTGAACTTCATGATCATAATTCTAAGAATGAAAACTGAGGTTCGTCTCGTCTACAAGGTTGTGACAAGTTAGAGTATTGGTCAGATATAATATTTGATAAGTAGATTTAAACGGTCACTTTCGTTTAAGAAACCTCATAAACCCGATGACAGCATCATCGATTATACATCTCACGCAAATGATTACTATTATGTCGATAACTGCATGATTTTACCATGTATATTATTTAAAGATGACAGCCGTCGTTCTTATCATCGTTATTTTACTGCATGTGCCAATGTCTGGATTGTGCCAGGACTCATTCGGCTTGCTCATGAGATGTCAAAAGGGACAGTGAGGGACATTTCATTTGAGTTTTACTGGCACAAGAACGGGGTAAGTATTAGGTGACCCAATTGTTGCAGATGAAACATCGACTACACTTATACGACAACCAGTTTCCAACATTTTGCTCTTTTGTCTCATCGCTTCAATACTGCTACTTCCGTGCTACTAAATATCAACACAGAGCTAACATAGCACCTCTCCATCTTTACCACATCTCTTATACAAGCTAGCTAACTGAATATCATTGTCCATTTTACTTACTCAATGTTCTTCGCTGTTGATGCTCCTCTTCATTATGTTTCCACCGGTTTTATCAAAAGGTCTACCCTTGCTGCTTGTGGCCATCTCCGCTGTAGTTGACTGGGAAGGCTATGGAACCAAGTACAGGTATGGAATTTTTTTGTGTGTATCTTTTTATTACCATAATGTCTTTTTTTTTTTTAAACTTTTTTTCCAAAAACACATTACTAGGTCGTAGATTAATTAATCTTACGAATTATCATGAAAAGGATTGACAGGAAATTACAATATGAGCTAAGATTAAGCATAAGCGGGTTTCAGACAGGGTAGATGAACTAGGGATCACATCTTTAATATGAAAATTCTTTTTGAAAAATGCAGAAAATACAAGTTGATCTTCATGCTTCTTTTATTGATTATAGCAAGACATTTGATTGTGTCCAACACCACAAACTGTGGACTATTACGAAAAGAATGGGGTGTCCAGCGCATTTAGTGCATTTAATTGAAAATCTTTATCATAAACAACAAGTAGTCAAGAGAGCAGCTGGTGAAACATCTCATTGGTTCGGGTGCAAAAGGGGGTGAGGCAGAGGTGCATTCTCTCACCATACCTATTCAATATATACGCAGAAAATATAATGAAAAATGTCAAAAATTACCTGACTTAAGACAGTTATGATCCGTTCAAAATTGGTGCAACCGTATTCCGGAACTCTGCTACGCAGATGACACAGTCATCCTTTTGAAAAGCGTAAAGGGAATAGAAAATTTAATATTGTCTGTCCAAAAACACAGTGAAGATCAAAATATGTTCTGTTCTTGAATTGAAAGAAAACGAAAATAATGTCCACAGATAAAACTGGCTGTCACCCGAAAAAAAAAAAAAAAACAATAAATGATGAAGAATTTGAAAATATCACAAACGTTGAATATCTAGGCTCTATAAAAAACAGCAATGGAGACTGTTCGACAGAAATTAAAAGGGGGATGGCCATAGCAATGCAAAGATTGAACAGCCTTAAAAGTCTATGGTTAAACACCAGCAAGGAGATAAAAATGAGAATTTTGAGAGCATGCATCTTCCCTGTGGCTACATACGGATGTGAGTTGTGGACTAACTCTCAGCCCTTAAGAAAGAGAATAGAGACTTTTGAGATGAAATGTTATAGAAAGATTCTCAGAACATCTTGGACAAAGAAGAGGAGAAATATTGACATCCTAAAAGATCTGAACATCAAGGAAGATTGGCTAATAAACAGCATCCTTTCTCAGAAGCTGAAATATTTTGGTCATATCAAGCGCCACGACGGATTGGGAAAACAAAATTATAGCAGAAGGCATAGTACCAGGAAGGAGAAACAGGGGCCGACCGACACGATGATGGGTACAGGATTTAAGTGGCTCCTTGAGTATGAAAGTTCATGAGGCGGGAGAACTATCGAGAGAACGAGTTTCTTTTAGGCAGACTGTGATGAGAGCTACGTTCTGCAAAGGACCTACTACATGATGATGATGAGATTAATTATTGTTACAATAAAGAAATGCACCAGGGCTTATTGGAAAATGTCTTCCTTTTCTTTCAGATACAACAATCTACATAAAATTCATGTTTACTTTTAATCAAACACAGTCATGTCATCATCATATTCTCGAACATCGTCATGACTTTTCAGATCCTGAATTCAGGTTGAATTTTTTGCAACTCAATTTTCTGTAGAACTATTCTCCCCTGTCTTTCATGTTTGGCGATTCAGCTTTGAATTAACATTTCTCGTAGTGAATTGGTAACACCGATGTCATGAATTCCCATGATTTCTTCACCAAAGTCACGACATTCTACAAACTAGGTTTCACAAAGTTTTCATTCTGATTTATCCAAATTCCAATTTTCAGTGTAGACGTTCATATCAATGAGCAAATGGTCCTTGAAGTGTGAACCCAATCGGTTGTTTATCAAATGCGCACCAGTGGGCTAGCACTCTGACTGACCATTTGGCAACAAGTCTAGCTGACGCATCTTACCTGGGCCTTTTCTTGAGGATACATCTTCTGTTAAAAGCATCCTGAAAAATATTTTTTGCTAATTTGACATCTGCCTAGGCTATTGTCTGATTGTCGTCTGCTGTGTCCACGTTGTACTTAAGAGTATTTTCAAATATTTGAACCACTTTCCATTACAGTTCTTGAAAATAAAATATTGACCTTATTAAAAAAAGACCAGATATGCACATCGCTGTGTATTTGTGTCCCCACAAATTGATTACGGATTTGTGATAGAAACATGTTTCTCTATCATTTGTCTCTACTGTGTGTACCAATCCTATTTAACTTTTGCATATGAATTTAAAATATACATTACCACTGTAAGAACTGAGGGTCCACTTTCCTATCTATCTCATAAACAAGGAAAAACTGGCGTATCTGCCGACATTTACCACTTTTGCTGATGAAGATAGACGAGTCTTTGAGCCTCACGATTTGTTGCATCATGGCACCAACGGTGCAGGCCTAGGAAAAAGGACCAGAATCTAGAAGTTAGCCAACTAGAATTTTCTGCTGGAGTTTACCAACAGTAAACGTTAGGAATAATACAGTTTAGAATGCTTGACTCATTTTATGTCCGTCTTTGATTTTCAAATTAACTAAATCAAAAACCACAAATCCAGAATTGTTCTCCCATCAAAAAACAAAAATTGTGTAAAGTTGACTGTGTTTGGACCCGCACAGGGCAGGTATGATGGCATTTATGCCATGCGAGACTCACATGGCGAAGAATATCACAACAGTCCGGACTCCAAATCTTTGCCCAGGTTGGTGATCACACAGGACGGACCTGGTCGGTCGTTTTTCTACTGTGAAGCTTCTGGAGAGGAGATTCATGCAACTATGGATCTGTCCCTAGTGCTTTTGGTGATAGTTCTGAATAATCACTTTTTTTTCTAATTGCTTACCACCTTTTTAGGCTTTTGAGCTGAAATGCTATAGAAAGATCCTCAGAATATCTTGGACGAAAAAGAGGAGAAATACTGACATCTTGAAAGATCTGAACATCAAGAAAGATTGGCTACATAAACAGCATCCTGTCTCGGAAGCTGAAATATTTTGGTCATATCAAACGCCACGACGGATTGGAAAAACAAATTATAGCAGAAGGCATGGTACAAGAAAGGAGGAACAGGGGCCGACCAACACGAAGAGGGGCACAGGATATAAGTGGCTCCTTGAGTATGAAAGTGCATGAGGCGGGAGAGCTGGCGAGAGGTCGAGTTTCTTTAAGACAGACCGTGATGAGAGCAACGTTCTGCAAATTACCTGCTACATGATGTTGATGATGATTATCACCTTTCCTCGACAAATTTTAACATTGTAACATGATTTAACGATATCAGCCCAACCGGAATTGTTTAGCCAGGAATATCCTTAAAGGCTAAAACGAAATCACCATTGGATTGCTCCATAAAATATACGAGTTTGTCTGCACTGTGAATGCTGGCTGCAATGTAAAGGCTGTCTGCAATGTAAAGGCTGTCTGCAATGTAAAGGCTGTCTGCACTGTGAAGGATGGCTGCAATGTAAAGGCTGTCTGCAATGTAAAGGCTGCACTGTGAAGGCTGTCTGCACTGTGAAGGCTGGCTACTGTGTCTCCAACAAGCTCAGTCTCTTGTCTTGATTGTACTCTTAGACTGCTATTCATCCATCTCTTGATGTTGTCTTCCAGTTCGTAACGTTGTCTCCTTCTTGCTTTCATCCTTTTAACCTTATCCTCCAGTTGGGTTCTTTGAAAGAGTATAAAAACTGGCCAAAATATTTCACTTTTCTTTCTGTGTTTCTTCAAATAATTATCTGTTTGTTTAGTATTTCCAGAACCACTGTATTTGATTGTTTTATTTCCATGAAATACGGCTTATTTTTCTGTATATCCACATTTCCAGTAACTCGACTTTCTAGTTGCCTGTTTATTGTTTATGTTTCTGCACCATACAGTAGGGTTGAGTATAATACACTTTGGTGATTCCCTTTTTTCACATGTTGTTTATGTTTCTCGCTGTCAATAGTTTACTTTTACCTATGTTCTTAAGTTATAATGATGAGTCATTTACGGGATACAGGCACTTGACGTACTTTTACCTATGTTTCAATGCTAGTGATCTTGCAGACTTGTTTCTCTATCTTACCCAGCTGCTGGCTATCCATCCATCAATCAACAATCTGGGCCTTCGTTGGACCAGCCATGGCAATTATAATAGTAAGTGTCGCCTCATTGTAGTAAGAGTGCAATCGCGTGCAAACAAACTGTGCTTCGTGTGCATAAATTAATTTAAATTACCTAATTACCCATACTAGAAGTTGAAATAATTAACTTCCTAGTAAAACATAACAATGAAAGACCAAATAAACGAGACCAAAAAGTATAAGTATACTTTTCGTTCTCCCCGCCCTTTGCCCCTGATTGTTCCATTGCCTCATTTCGAATAGTTGCAAATAAAAAGATTCACTGCCATTTAACAAGTATGTCGAAAAGAAGACTGACTGTGGTTTATTTGAATGGTATGTGTTAAGCCTAAATAAGCAGATTTTGCAGCCTAGCTGTAAACCACAGTATAGAGTGCTAACAGATGCTCTAAGTAAGAACGCAGAAAAAGAACACATTCTCTTTGCCTGAGTTTTCAGTTCAAGTCAAAAGTCAATGTAAAGAATGGGCGCGATGCATGTATTCAGCTGATCTAATCAGTTTGTTTTTCGTAGACATGTTAACTGGCTAGGCCTGACAATTTTCTGCAGTGTACAGAGAGACAAGCATACAACAGCAGGACAATGATACAGATACATAGAGAAACCGCACATAGTAACTGACAATGTGGTGAACTAACTGTTTAAATACCCACGCATGGTGAATGTACAAAGAAAAACTGTCAGGGTGCGTTCTAACGCAGCGATTCTCAACCTGTGGATCGTGATCCTTTTTGGGGTCGAGCGACCCTTTCACATGGGTCGCCATAGACCATCGCAAAATACATATTTATTAAAGTTATGAAGTAACAACGAAAACAATTGTATTGTTCTTCGTCGCAGAATGAAGAACAGTATTAAAGGATCGCGGCATTAGGAAGGTTGAGAGCCATTATTCTAAGGTAAATATGAACGATGTTATTCGCATTAATGTTTGGAAAGGTAAAGCCAGCGCAGGTTTTCTCTCTTGACATTTACATATTGAAAACGTGCGGGCCGCTTGCGCTAATGAACGTATAATATGTAGCTCATAAGTATTCTTAATACCGATATATATATATATATATATATATATATATATATATATATATATATATATATATATATATATATATATATATATACAAACATACAGAATCAAAATCCACAGACACGCACGCATTTATATGTACATTTATACTAGATTTCATTGCCCGGATTCAAACAGGAAAGTTAAAACAAATGTATTCTCCCGCCCACTATTTCATGTCTGCTGCACTGCAAGATGTTTGGTTATTACCCCTAAATGCAACTGAGGCTCTTACTGCCCCTAAGACCTGACTGACGACGCTACCGCACCTCAACCAACTCAGCACCCAAAAGGAAGGTAGCACCCACTAGAGGAAACTAGTGTAGGAGGGGCCTATCACGCCTCTACCCATACAAGCAAGCATTATGTGTTTTATATTATATATATATGCGCATGTTGAGTTGAGTCAAGAATTCACATCACAGCACTCGGGACATTGCCATATATGCTCCGTCCTCATCTTCAGCAGCCAGCGCAGAGTTCCAGTACTGATAGCACCTGTCACAATGAGGTTAAATGTCCGTCTTGCCTTTCCTCTGAGTGTAGTCAGCCTGCCAGACCCGCTGGTTACACCCAGGTGCCTTATTCTCTCCAGGCCATAATTATCTTCTTTCTCTACTGATTCCGTTGGTTGTTCCCAAAGGGCCTTGACCACATCTGCCTTGTCATGTATCAATTCACCGCCCAGTGATGTAGATCCAGCCAATCTATATACATATACAGATAAATCCACAAAATTACTATGTGTATGTAATGAGTACCAACTAATGTGCCAATGTGCTAATGTGCTGGTAAGTTAAGGTAACTGGCGTGACCTGGAGCACATAACTTAACCAGTCCCGATTGGTCAATAAAATGATGAGTACGATGCGCGGTTGACTTGAACGGTGTCCTTTACTTATTGTACCTACTTCTCTCATTTGTTCCTGAGCAGTTGTTCATTATTGTTTTCTTGTTCGGTAATCAAGATTATTAAGTCTATATTTTGATTGTATTTGACAATCCTGCAGGTCAACTTTGTCATATTAGCAGTGGTCATCAGAATCGTTATTACTTCAGCGAGGACAGATAAAAATACCAACTACGACCATATCAGGTAATGGGTTGTTGTTTCTGTTGGTGTTCTTGTCATTGCTATTGTTCTCCCCCCTCCTCTCTCTCTCTCTCTCTCTCTCTCTCTCTTTCTCTCTCTCTCTCTCTCTCTCTCTCTCTCTCTCTCTCTCTCTGTGTGTGTAGGGTGTGTGTGTAAGTAACTGACAGTTTTTCTTTTTGTTTTTTTCTCAAGTAAAATATTTTACCCGAAGATTTTCAGTTCAAATCAGCTTTGACGTGGATTTGTTCCTTCTACATCGATCTTGCCAGACGGGTCTGCCCTGCATTAAATGGGTACCAGGTAATGTCTTCTGAAGTAAATGCAACCTATATGAAAATATGTCTTGCGTTACAGAGCCTTTGCGAAAAGGCGTCAACATATTCTCTAAAATAACCTCATTTGTTATTGAAAAGTACTTATACTGGTTTTTGAAAACATGGGTGCTGTTTTTATGTTTTTTTAAATAATTTCAGGTTTGAAGAATGTAACGCATTCCTAAATTAAATACATCAATCAATGCATGTATACATTCATCCATATTTCTGTCTAACTATCCATCTATTCATAAGACTATTCATGACAAGAACAACCCCACTGCCTCTCTGACAAGCATGTCGTAAGAGTCTACTAACTGGGATTTCCTTCGAAGTCGGAGTGCATCTGCCTAAGAGGCAAGAACCGACAATTTGCGCACAAAGTAGTCAGATCTGTTAAACGTATATCTAGGCAACACTAAGGTTCTGGAACATGTCTACAGTCCAGAGGTGGATGAGCAACCAGAACTTTCCGCCGGAGTTTACAGCCGGTGAACGTGAAGAAGAAGAAGAAGAGGAAGATATATCCATACATCCATTCAAACATCTATTTATACATTCATTTAAATCCATTCATCAATGCATCAACCTAGCCATACATCTATCAGTCCATCCTTTCATACATATATACATGCATGTGTACATGCATACATGCATGCATGCATACATACATACATAGATAATTACATACATACATAATACATACATAATACATACATAATTCATACATACATTCATACATAAATAAATACATACATACATACATACATACATACATACATACATACATACATACATACATACATACATACATACATACATACATACATACATACATACATACATACATACATACATACATACATACATACATACATACATACATACATACATACATACATACATACATACATACATACATACATACATACATACATACATACATACATACATACATACATACATACATACATACATACATACATACATACATACATACATACACACATAATACATACATAGTACATACATAATACATACGTAATACATACGTAATACATACATACATACATACATACATAGATACATACATACATACATACATACATACATACATACATACATACATACATACATACATACATACATAACATACATACATACATACATACATATACATACATACATACATACATACATACATACATACATACATACATACATACATACATACATACATACATACATACATACATACATACATACATACATACATACATACATACATACATACATACATACATACATACATACATACATACATACATACATAAATACATACATACATACATACATACATACATACATACATACATACATACATACATACATACATACATACATACATACATACATACATACATACATACATACATACCTACCTACCTACCTACCTACCTACCTACATACCTACCTACCTACCTACATACATACCTACCTACCTACCTACATACATACACACACACATACATACATACATACATACATACATACATACATACATACATACATACATACATACATACATACATACATACATACATACATACATACATACATACATACATACATACATACATACATACATACATACATACATACATACATACATACATACATACATACATACATACATACATTCATACCTACCTACCTACCTACCTACCAACCTACCTACCTACCTACCTACCTATCTACATACATACATACATACATACATACATACATACATACATACATACATACATACATACATACATACATACATACATACATACATACATACATACATACATACATACATACATACATACATACATACATACATATATACATACATACATATACACATACATACATACATACATACATACATACATACATACATACATACATACATACATACATACATACATACATACATACATACATACATACATACATACATAGATACATACATAATAGTACACATACATACATAAATAATAGCACACGTACATACATAAATACATGCACACGTACATACACACGCACGCACGCACACACACACCTAGACTGCGTTATTATAGCATGCAATTGTATGTTATGAACAATACAATGTGTCTATTTACGGTACAACGTTGTACAAACTTTAGGGCAGGAATCAAGGCGACTGTGCTGCTTCTGCCTCTCCTTGGATTGACCTGGATCTTTGGTCTTGCTGCTGTCAGCGAGAAGCTGGTAGTTTTCCAGTACCTGTTCGCCATCCTCAACACCTTACAGGTAACTCACCTACATCAGCTGCCATACACGTCATCAGGTGTTAACTTTTCCTTTTGTTTTCCTAAATTAGAAATAGTGCATTAACAAACTAAGACAATCGGAAAGAAATATATTGGAAACGCATTAAATAATTTTGCAGGTAATAAAGTAAAAATTAACTGGGTGTTTTTTTCGACTATTTATTTTCAATTTTGTTTTTCTTACCAGGGATTCTTCATCTTCATGCTTCATTGTGTCTTCAACACAGAGGTAAGGTGTCATGACTCAGTTTTATTATTTTTTTTTTTTTTTATTGAAAACTGGTTTGTTTTTCAAGGTTTAAAAATATATTTTAAAATCAAAAATAGGCGCTGTCACTACTGGCTGTATGTGCCAATTGTCCAGGTGGTATGGACATGGGGTTATAAGATTGAGGATTTTGAGACGCATGGGCCGAGGTGTCGCCACGGACTTTACATGTTGAAACTTACATTTTGCTCCCGACAGAAAGAAATCCATCACCTTAGAGGGTATCGAACTCAAGTGCCCCCCCTGAGAGTCTGACGTCGTAAATGCTCGACCTGCCGTTCCTCCGTCCAAAATTATTATTATATATTATTATATTATAATTTTATACTATAATCTTTAGGAAATTATATATAACACATTGCAATACCTGGAAAGATTGGTACATATCACGAAGATCACCGCATCCCGCCAGAAGCGAGGTTTTGTGTCTGCTCCCAATAATGCCGCGACCATTCCCACAGGCTGTCCTATGTTCTAGGGGTGTTAGCATATGCTTTCCTTCCCCTTCGCTGTCTATATACACCGTCCGGAAAACCGACTTGTGGCAGGCGACACTGAGCATCCTATTGTGTGTGTGTGTGTGTGTGTGTGTGTGTGTGTTGCTGCAAAATTTCAACACTACTCTGGTCGTCGCTCGCAACGCTGACAGTTGAAAGAAATCATCTGGAAGTTCAAGTTAGCAAATAAGCCAAAGTGATAACGGCGATGTTCATGATTTGTAGCGAAAGATCAATATCTGAAGGTATTCTTATAGACTTTAACACACGTAATCATTATCCATCATGCAGAAGTGCTGAACCACACTTAGCGGAACACCGGAACCAGGGTTCATACTGCTATACCAAAACAAGGTTTTATACTGCTCCACCAAAACCAGGGTTCATACTGCTTCATCAAAAACAGGGTTCATACTGCTCCACCAAAACCAGGTTTCATACAGCTCTACCAAAACCAGGGCTCATACTGCTCCACCAAAACCAGGTCTCATACTGCTCCACCAAAACAAGGTTTCATACTGCTCCACCAAAACCAGGTTTCATACTGCTCCACCAAAACCAGGTTTCATACTGCTCCACCAAAACCAGGGTTCATACTGCTCCACCAAAACTAGGTTTCATTCTGCTCCACCAAACCCAGGGTTCATACTGCTCCACCAAACCCAGGGTTCATACTGCTCCACCAAAACCAGGGTTCATACTGCTCCACCAAAACCAGGTTTCATACTGCTCCACAAAACCAGGTTTCATACTGCTCCACCAAAACAAGGTTTCATACTGCTCCACCAAAACCAGGTCTCATACTGCTCCACCAAAACCAGGGTTCCTACTGCTCCACCAAAACAAGGTTTCATACTGCTCCACCAAAGCTAGGTTTCATACTGCTCCACCAAACCCAGGGTTCATACTGCTCCACCAAACCCAGGGTTCATACTGCTCCACCAAAGCCAGGTTTCATACTACTCCACCAAAGCCAGGTTTCATACTACTCCACCAAAGCCAGGTTTCATACTACTCCACCAAAGCCAGGTTTCATACTGGTCCACCAAAGCCAGGTTTCATACTGGTCCACCAAAGCCAGGTTTCATACTGGTCCACCAAAGCCAGGTTTCATACTGGTCCACCAAAGCCAGGTTTCATACTGGTCCACCAAAGCCAGGTTTCATACTGGTCCACCAAAGCCAGGTTTCATACTGGTCCACCAAAGCCAGGTTTCATACTGGTCCACCAAAACCAGGGTTCATACTGCTCCACCAAAACCAGGGTTCATACTGGTCCACCAAAACCAGGGTTCATACTGGTCCACCAAAACCAGGGTTCATACTGCTCCACCAAAACCAGGGTTCATACTGGTCCACCAAAACCAGGGTTCATACTGCTCCACCAAAACCAGGGTTCATACTGGTCCACCAAAACCAGGGTTCATACTGCTCCACCAAAACCAGGGTTCATACTGCTCCACCAAAACCAGGTTTCATACTGCTCAAGACCTCCACGGTAATTCTTGAAGAGTCTTGGTGGCCAACGAAGATTGGAGTGCACCTGCCAGGGAGGTAAGGAACCAATAGTCTGCCCCCCCAAAAAGCTAAATCTGTAAAACGGACTGCACGCAACACTTATGTCCTGGAGCAATTTCAGAAGTGGATAAAGAACTCGAACTGTCCACAATAATTTACAGCCTGTATAAGCGAAGAAGAAAGAGAAAACGTCGATCATTATCCCAAGCCCCTAACCAAGGTCAGCATTAAACAACGGTCTGCAAAAGTAAAACAAAAATTGCACACACACACATATATATATATATACATACATAAAGAAACACATTATATGTGTGTGTGTATATATATATATATATATAATATATATATATATATATATATATATATATATATATATATATATATAATATATATATATATATATGTGTGTGTGTGTGTGTGTGTTTGTGTGTATATATATATTTTTATCATCATGTAGCAGGTCTTTTTGGAAACGGTTGCTCTCATCACTGTCTGCCTGAAAGAAACTTGGCCTCTCGCCAGCTCTCCCGCCTCATGAACTTTCATACTCAAGGAGTCACTTATATCCTGTGCCCATCTTCGTGTCGGTCGGCCTCTGCCCCTCCTTCCTGCTACCATGTCTTCTGCTATAAATTTGTCCAATCCGTCGTGGTCTTCATATGACCAAAATATTTCAGCTTTCGAGAAAGGATGCTGTTTATTAGCCAATCTTCCTTGATGTTCAAATCTTTTAAGATGTCAATATTTCTCCTCTTCTTTGTCCAAGATATTCTGAAAATCTTTCTATAGCATTTCAGCTCAAAAGCCCCTATTCTATTTCTTAAGGACTGGAAAATATCCCACGATTCACATCCGTATGTTGCTATAGAAAAGATGCATGCTCTCAAAATTCTTATTTTGATCTCCTAAGACTTTTAAAGCTGTTTAATCTTTGCATTGCTATGGCCATCCTCCTTTCAATTTCTGTCAAACAGTCTCCATTGCTATTTATTATAGAGCCTAGATATTCAAAGTTTATGTCATTTTCAATTTCTTTATCATTTATTGTTATTTTGGGTGGCAGCCAGTTTTATCTGTGAAAATTATTTCTGTTTTCTTTAAATTCAAGAAAAGATTATGATCATCACTGGTGTGTGTGTGGTGTGTGTGTGTGTGTGTGTGTGTGTGTGTGTGTGTGTGTATATATATATATATTGTGTGCGTGTGTGCGATATTTCATTCCGTTCGTTGTGCAAATTAGATTGTCGTTTGTCACCCTACATAATTTTCAGAATCCATTATGAATTCTGCGTTACTGTCTCACCCGATGCATTTGCTCAAACAACCTAGATTTGATGCACAGGAGCACAACAAAGACAAAGGGATAGAACCTTCCTCGTTGTGCTCCTTTAAATCATGTAGATATTTAATAAACAGCCATTTATTGATTGGAACTCATGGAAAGAAGTAGAAAGATAAAAGGACACACTAAACAGAATAAACAATCTAAAGCTGTAATTATCATGCCTTCACAAGTGTTATCATATGCATGACTAACTATCCACCCTTAATAAAGGTATCTTCATTAACCATGTCTATTGCACAGACTGAAAACCACAATTACGGAATACAGACAGAATTTATCTCAAACCAATAGCACAATAGGTTACATAAATTTATATTAAACTAGCCATAAACCACAACACAACATGTCAGCCACCCAGTTAAGGGCTAATGAAAAAAAAATGTATATCACCTAGGGGGGGATTCTAGCGCGGGTCACTCGCATGCTAGGCAGAATATTTATAACTACGCTACCAAACACTCAAGTAAATTGTGGCATGGAAATTATTTAGTAAGGTAAAGCTGAATAAGAACTAAGCAGTCAAAATTGGCCAATTAATTAAAAATAAATCCGGGTCGGCAACGTAACAAATGTTGATTTGACAGCTGCTGGAGCTATGCCGTTCGTGGTTTGTGCGATTTTCTGACCCCCAAAAAAATCACGCTTTGAGTCAAAGGCATTATTGTGTGAAAAATTGAAAGCAATCGGTTTAGTAGTGTCTGAGTCTATAATTAACAAACTCGGAAAATTACAATTTTTATAAATATAGATAAGCCGAGCTCAAAATAACAAACACAGCAAAAATTTATGCAAACACAACAGACCGTAATACTTTTGTCTTTAAACCAGTGAGTTGGCTCTGTGGCTAAGTCGAAGCAAACGCTTCGTAATGCCGGGTTGCCGGGTTCGATCCCAGCTGCTGGCCATGCGCCTTGTCTTGGTTTCGACAGTGGTATCAGGGAGCCGACCGTTCAGTGCTATGGCAAACTACTGGACGTAAATTTGCCTATAGAAACCGCACAACAGCTAGGGGCTTTTGGGGTTGGTTCTGCAACGTCCTGTAAAGGATACGCAACTAACCTAAAAAAAAAAAATCAAACTAGTGAATATTTAAGGGAGAGATTCGATTGGTCGGTTCCATAGTGTCATACAGAATACACATAATACGACACAAATCTGCTAAATCCGCGTTACTATTGTTTTTATCTGTCTGTCTCCACACAACGTACATTTATCTCCACACAACGTGTTCATTTATATGTATGTCTCCACACAATATGTTTATTTATCTGTATGCATCCACACATTTATCGGCATGTCTTCACACAACATGTTTATTTATCTGTATTTTTCAACACTTGTTTATTTATCTGTATGTCCTCCAACAACATGTTCATTTATCTGAATGTCTCCACACAACATGTCTACACATTATTCACCATCCTGACCCAGTTTGTTTTATCAGCTTACCTGTAACGGTTGTTGTGAGGATGATTTTTCCGTGTGGTCCATTTTTGTGGAGGTGGGGGGTGTGGGGGATTAGACCCACTGCTCCCTAATTAAGGATATTTTCTTTTAAATCAAAGTGCGTCTACCAGAGAGGTTAAAAACCAACAGTTTGCATACAATTAGGTAGGATCTGTGCACGCTAAACGCACGTACTGAACCAAGTTCAACGTCCACAAGTGAATGAAAAACTAAAAGTTTCTGCTAGAGTTTACAGCCCGTTAGCGTTAAGAATAGGAATACATGAAA